TCAGATGAGGCAGCTCGCTGATTTAGCCATAAAAAATCATGGATATTCCATTGAAGAACAAACATAGGAAATAAGAGCTATGACAAGAAAAGAAAGAAGATTAGTAAAGAGCACAGAATCAGGTAGGATCAAGATCAGGATCAGATAGTGTTGGAGTGCACAAGCAAACTCGGCAAAGAGCATTGATGACTGGCAAAGGGGCACGGAAAAAGTGCACAGGCGAACTAACAGGGTCCAGCGAGGAAGGTGGTACCGGAGGGAAAAGGATGACTTAAGAGAAAAACCTACAGGGTGCTCTGGAGAAAGCACATCATTAGAAGGGGACTTTACCACCAATAGTGGTGTCAAATAGCTCTATTACTGCTACCACTCTCCGGAACAAACGGGCAGGGATGGGAAAGGACTAAGGAAGAAGACCTTCTTTCCGACTGGGAAGGGAGGGACTACATTTTACATTTGGTTTTTCCATTTTCATTTGTGATTCCATTTTCATTACATTTTCCATTGTGAAGGATTTAAAGCTGTTAGCTTAAAATATTTTACCAACTGATCCTACCAGTATTAATGTATTGTTGACATCTTACCCAGATGCATTCCAAAACTCCCAGGAGCCTCTTAACTTACACGTGAACAGACATCAGGTGGAAGGGAACATTCACAAGTGTCCCCTGCAATACTGAGGGATTAAAATCTCGTACGATTACCAAAGAGCCAACTGATGTTGGTGAAAACCTTAAAACTGTTTATGGCTTGGTTCCAAGGGTTGTTATTGCCGGGAGGAAGGGTTGTAGAGATAAGCTCCCACAGCCTGTAAAGTGCCCCTGATGGCGTGCGTCTCAAATAGCCTCTGACAACCAAGTCTAGCTCCTAGCCTGCATGTGTGGCTTAGCCTCTAGGCCTGGCGGAACTGCTTCTACCAACAGGAGAAGGGGCGAAGGTGGGCCTCTGGCACCTTAAAACCAGTTGCTTCGGGCAGATGGGACTCGTTAGCCTGGAAAGGCAGCTCATCTAGGGGAAGGAAAACCCTGAATTCAAACCTCTGCTGTCTTGTGGCTAAACCCACTCATGGGAAAGACTTCGGGAGTCAACCCTGAGGAAAAATCAGGAGTCGGAGTCCCTAAGGCAGTTTGCAGCTGTTTACAGCTACATTCCGACGACAACTGCGACGACACTGGTGCCAAGCGTATCGGCGCCTGCCCTTCCCTTGGCTCACATCGGTGGCGTGGAGAGGGTGGATCTGCTGCATGGGCAACAGCTGATCCTCCATAATTACTGCCCAGGCCTGTGCCCTGGAGAGGACACTCCAGCATTGCTTTGGCGATGGCTTAACACGGGAAGTGACAGTTACCGGTGATAAGCCTACCACTCAATTGGCGTAGAGTCCAGGGGTTGCTTCCGTTGGTGGGAGAAATTATCCTTTTTCATAGGACAGCTACTGCCCGCCTCAAGCTGGGCAGCCCCCAGCCAATAAGGTGCTGTCCCGCCACGGTCCGCCTGCTCCATTGAGTGCGTGGGGCTTAGGCCACAATCCAACAAGCGGATCGTCAACCCATGCACCAGGCAAAAGAAAAACAGAGCCACCCAGCTCTCAAACTGGGCACATGGAATGTAAGGACCATGACACTGGGTCTCTCGGGAGATCTACTGGAAGTGAACGACGTCCTCAAGACAGCTGTGATCAACAATGAACTACACAGGCTCCAGATGGACATAGTCGCCCTGCAGGAGACACGTCTGCCCGCAACCGGCAGCATACGGGAGAAGGACTACCTTCTTCTGGCAGGTCAAACCACCAGAAGAGGTAAGGGAGCATGGCGTTGGCTTTGCCATCAGGAACAGGTTGTTAGGGTCCATAGTACCGCCTATGGAGGGGTCTGCAAGGATCATCAAACTTCAGCTTCATACAGCAGCAGGAATGGTCAGCCTCATCAATGCCTATGCACCAACACTGACCTCCTCTACCGAAGCGAAGGACAAGTTCTATGATGACCTCTGCCTAGCTCTCGGAGACATACCTCAACAAGAGCCAGTCTTCCTCCTGGGAGATTTTAATGCAAGAGTTGGTTCTGATCACAGCTCTTGGCCTTCCTGCTTGGGCCAGTTTGGATTTGGGAAGATGAATGAGAGTGGGCAGCGCCTCCTGGAGTTCTGCTCCCGTCATGATCTCTGCATCACCAATTCGTTCTTCGACACCAAGCCCCAGCATAAGGTTTCCTGGAGACATCCCAGGTCTAAGCATTGGCACCAACTCGACCTGGTGCTTACAGGGCGTAACAATCTGAGTAATGTCAAACTGACCCGCAGCTTCCAGAGCGCAGATTGCGACACCGACCACTCTCTCGTCGTATGCAGAGTAAAGTTCCAGCCCAGGAAAATCCACAGAGCAAAGGAGGGAAGACCACGCATTAACGTAAACAAGACCCGTGACCTTCACAAGGTGCAGGAATTCACTGCGGCGCTGGTAAATGCCCTTCCTGTACCACCTTGCGATAGCGCAAGTGAGAGGTGGTTACATCTCAGGGGCACTATTTTCAACACTGCCATGTCCACCTTCGGTAAGAGGCAGAACAAGTCAGCAGATTGGTTCGAGGCCAGTGCAGAGGAACTGTTACCCCTCGTAGAGGAAGAGAGACAAGCTCTCATCCTACAAGAACCTGCCCTCAGAAAGGAACCTACAGGCCCTCCGTACTGCCCGCAGTAAAATTCAACAAGTAATTATCAAAAGAAGGCACCAAACCGGGAAGGCTATGTAGCACCATCAAATACGCAAAATAATCAGAGGGCGCTAAATATCACCAAGGATGCCAATACGAGAACAAAAACGCATAAGGCGAACGATATCAAAAGTATCCGAGTCGCCAAGAATTCTATCGAGGGACATAGAATTCAACAAACTGCGAGGCGTTGTCCTAATGATTACTGGCTTCGACTCTGTTCCAGCATCCAGACTGCGGCCACTGTCGGCAACATAAGAGGCATGTACGAAGGGATCAAAAGAGGCAACAGGCCCTACACAAAATCGGACGGCTCCTCTAAAGTCAGCCACTGGAGAGATCATTAAAGACCGTGATCAACAGATGAATCGCTGGGTGGAACATTACTCCGAACTCTATTCCAGAGAGAACTTGGTCAGCGTAGAGGCTTTGGATGCAATTGAGTGCCTGCCCATCATGGAAGAACTTTATCTTGAACCAACTGTGGAAGAAGTTGAGAAAGTGGATTCACTTTCCTCAGGGAAGGCCCCAGGAGATGACAGGATTCCGCCTGAAGTTCTAAAGTGCGCTCGTGGAACACTTAAATCTGAGCTTCATGAACTTCTGTGCCAGTGCTAGAGGGAGGGCTCGGTGCCACAAGACATGAAAGATGCAAACATCATCACTCTACAAAAATAAAGGTGACAGAAGCAATGTAAACAACTATCGCAGCATATCCCTCCTCAGCGTCGTTGGCAAACTCTTCGCTAGGGTCGTTTTGGTCAGGCTTCAGATTCTTGCCGAAAGAGTGTACCCAGAGTCACAGTGTGGTTTCCGAGCAGAGAGGTCGACCACTGACATGGTGTTCTCCCTGAGACGGCTTCAAGAAAAGTGCAGGGAGCAGAGAAAAGCCTTGTACATTGCCTTCAGTGACCTTACAAAGGCCTTCGACCTCTTGAGTAGGGACGGACTCTTCAAGATCTTAGCCAAAATTTTCTGTCCACCCATCCTACTCAGCATGATACAATCGTTCCACAAGGACATGAAGGGGACAGTCGTGTACGACAGCTCAACTTCTGAACCATTCAACATTAACAGTGGTGTGCTCTTGCTCCAACCCTGTTCGGCATCATCTTCGCGATCCTTGTCAAGCATGCCTTTGGAACAACCACGGAAGACATCTATCTCTGTACAAGATCTGATGGAAAGCTCTATAATCTATCCAGACTCCGAGCAAAGACAAAAGTACAGATGCGAATCCTCAGGGAGTTCCTCTTTGCCGACAACGCAGTGATCACCACACATACAGCAGAAGGCCTGCAGCAGCTACTCAACCGCTTTGCCGCAGCCTGTTCCGCATTTGGCCTGACAATCAGCCTGAAGAAGACAGGTGATGGGACAAGATGTCAATGAGCTACCCTGTATAAATATAGAAGACTGTGCTAGAGGCAGTTCACGAGATTGTGTACCTGGGCTCCACAATCTCAGACACCCTTTCCCTGGACACCGAGCTCAACAGGCGTATCGGGAAGGCCGCAACAACACTGGCCAGGCTCACAAATCGCGTTTGGGAAAATGCCAAACTGACAGTGCACACCAAGGCACAAGTCTACATGGTATGTGTGGCGAGTACACTTCTCTACGGCTTGGAATCCTGGACCCTGCGCTCTCGCCAGGAGAGACGGCTTAACACCTTTCACATGCGGAACCCGAGACGCATCTTTGACATCACGTGGAAAGACCACATCAACAACACTGTACTCTAGAGAACAGGAGTCCCTTTAATGTTCACTCTCCTGAAACAGACGCATGCGATGGCGGGTACATGTCACACGCATGGTCGATGGCCGCATACCGAAGGACCTCTTATGGAGAACTGGCATCAGGAAGGAGACCCACCGGAAGACCTCGGCTGCGTTTCAGATGCCTGCAAACGCGACCTCAAGCAGATGAACATCGACATCAACACTTGGGAGGCAGCAGCTGCGGAGAGATCTGCCTGGAGATGTAAAGTGCAGAAGGGACTCCAGCAATTCGAGGATGAACTGAAGAGGCAGGCGGAGGATAAAAGATTTCAGAGGAGGTCTCAACCATTGTCAGACGCACCCGCTTCGGCGTTTATCTGGGCTCGCTGCAGTCGAGACTGTCATTCTCGGGTTGGCCTTCACAGCCACAGCAGGCGCTGCATCCAACTACACTACAACAGCTAGACACCCAGGGCACAACTCCATAACCCCACGGGATTGACGGATGCCTACTACTACTATTTGTGGCTTATATTTTATTTTATGACAGAGAAACTACTCATTAGTAAATAATTTTATTTTTCGTATAAAATTTATGAACTTGGAATGTGATAGCACATGAAGAATGAATGATTAGAATTAAACAATTCATAATCATTCATTAGAAAATAAGAATTCAATTATTTTCAAAGAATGACAAAACGAGATTCAGAACTATTATAACCATACATGACTGAACGAGTCTTAGAGGGGAGAGGGGAAGGATGAAAGCTATCTACCAAATAAATCATAAATTATTAAATATAATCTGTAAACATTATTTATGTGCTCTGGCAAATACCTGTTGCTATTCAGTAATAACAAAAGCCAAGAAATTCCATTAACATACTGTACTATACATTATTTATTGTCTCCACGATGGATTCGAAATTCTATTCACATATTAAGATAAAGACTTCTAACTTTAAATGCTATGGCTAGTGTTAAATACTGCTAACCATTTAGGTTGTATTGGGGCCCTTGAATATTAAAACTAATTATTGGAATCTTAAATTTATCTTCAAAAAATGCAATAAAATCAATATACTAATATTTGCAATGCACAAAATTTATCCTTTTTCCTCAAGAGTCATTAATACAGATTCACTAACAATTTTCCCCAAAGCCATACAATCAGCATTGGAAAGTTTCTTAACGATGACGGGTCAACTGGCAATAACCTGAACAAAGTCTCTCACACACACACTTCTTATACTATGTACTTCACAATTATGCATTCCATCAACCATAAAATTAGTTTTTAATTGGTGAAAATTTTTTGTAAGTGGAATTGCCTTTACATATGACGAGTGTTGCCAAAAGACATTCCAGCCTGGTTTGCTCCCTTATTTGAGCCATACTGAAGGCTGATCACTGTATCAGAGGCTCTGAGCTGCTCTTCACTAAACTGTCTAACATTTTTCTCTGCTTCCTTGGGACCAATTGAAGGCTTATCAAACTGGGCACCCTGAAATACAATTCAAAAGGTTTAAAAATGTACAAAGGATATTTTATGTGGGTTTCAAAATATATAAACACATACATCAAACCCATCTTTAACTTTCTTGGGATTGGTAGGCACAAGAAAGGAACACAGCAAAAAAAAGTTTAAGATTAAACAATTAAATAAAAATGGCACTTCTATTAATTACACAATTTACAACACTACCAATAAACAAGAGCCTAAATGATCTAGACATCTTCACTTCATGAGATCTGGGTGTACAGCGGTGTTTATGCAGTTATGTAAAGTACAGAATAACCAAATACATTCGTTCTCCTTTTGCAAACGAACTGCACCAGGCCTTTGGCCATTACCACGTCCCATTTATTGTCCCCACACTTGCTTTCTTCCTCCCCACTTATTCACTATGTCCACAGTTACGACCCTGGGTTCTTTAGTTGGAAACCAGAGGTCAAAACTGAACTAAATAAACTACCTTGTAGTAGTGGACACGCTTGTCGACGTGTAATTGTTCGTATCTTCCCTGCCAGACGCAAGACAATTCTTGTTGCTCACAAAGCATTCAGACTCTTGAGCTTGTTGTGGATTAAGTAACTGTTATAAGATCCCCCCCCCCCCCCACTCCTATTTTACCCTCAAATTCAATCTAGACTTTCCCAGCACATATTTGCTTAACATGGCACAAACCGATTTCAAGATGCTCTCCTCATTCTTGCAATTTATTATGGAGACGAGTCCCAATAACGTGGCTGAAATATGTTGACCAAACTAAACACTAGAAAGTGAAGGGACGACGACGTTTCGGTCCGTCCTGGACCATTCTCAAGTCGATTGTGATGAGGGAAGGAGTTAAAAGGCAATAAATAGGCAAGAGAGAGGCGAGAAGAAAATCTTAAGAGGAAGAAGAGCAATGCAAAAGGTATGAAAGGTAAGGTGAAATAAAGGGTATAATAATAGGAATAATTTGAGCCGATTCAACAAGACAGCATCTGTGTAGAGTAGAGGCAAGAAAGATTATTTTGCAGAAAGACCAATCAATAGGATGATTAGAATCCCTAACATGACAGAAGAGAGCATTGTTTGTGTCTGCAGACTTAACACTTGTGTTCTTCAAGTCTGTCATTAAGTGCACAGTCAGTGTCACCAAAGTATTAGAGAGGACAAGACGAACAGGAAATAGAGTAGACACCAGCAGCATTAGAAGCAGGAGCAGGTGGAAGCAGGAGGAGCAGTGTGAACTAGATTGCTACGAAGTGTGTTAGTTTGTCGAAAGGCGAGCTTTATGTCAAGATGACGAAAGGTTTAAGTAAAACTTTTGAGTTCAGATATGAAAGGAAGGCAGAGCACAGTGCTACTAGTGTTGGAAGCAGGTTTAGGGTGAAAGAAATTTCGTTTAGCTTGAGAGTAGGCACAGTTGATAAAAAGCAAAGGGTAACCTAGGCGAGAGAATGATTTGTAGATAAAAGCAATTTCAGAATCAAGACACCGAGGGTCTCTGATGCGTAGAGCGCGGAGGAAGAGAGATGAGGACACTTTTCTTAACAGAAGGAGGATTGTAGAGAAAACGGGAATGTACATGCCACGATGCATGGGTTTGCAGTAGACATAAAAAGAGAACCCAGAGCTGTGAACGTCAAGAAAAGGGAGGAGGGAATTATATTCCCATTCGATTAGATTTCACGACAAAACATTGTCGTCCCTTCACTTCGTAGTGTGTGGTTTGGTCAACATTTATTATGGAGTTTCTCAATTTATGAAGTTTCATTTCTTTATTCTCAACACCACACATGCCCCACAGATTATATAGTTTTTAATGCTATAGCTTTATTGAAGTGCAGTGGTCAGAGCAGTTAATTCACAACCAGAAAGGCCCCAGGTTTGACTAGTGCAGGACAGATGTTTTGGCAAATTATCTTTAATCTGTTCACCTAGTAAATATACATCTGGGAGCTAGGTAACTAATATGGGGTAGCATCTTTAAGGTCAGTCAGTTACCGACTTATTGGGACCTCATTAAGCCTAATTACCTTCCTGTCCCCTTACAATAGAAAACTAGATCACCGTCTTGCAACCAACAAGAATCTGTACTACCATTCCTTCAAGCTGCCCTCTGGCTGCTTATATTCCCACCATTTTCTAACCAGGTCTTACCTTTTTCCCTACTGTATTCTGAACTTGTACTGCACAAATTATTAACACATCCTGTGTTCTTATTTCACATTAACTTTCATCTCTACAACATCATATTTGTCATTCAATACCATACTTGGTAGTACAGTTGGGTTCATTCAACTTGCAATTGAGAATCCCAGGTAGGACAGAAATACTTGGGCACATTCCTTTCTCCTAATGTCTGTTCACCTAGCAGGTTATAGGTACCCAGGAGTTATTCAACTGGTGCGGGATTCCATCCTAAGCAAGGTCGGTAGTTTGATCTTGGGGATGGCCTCGATACAAACCTAACATATATACTGTATACACATACAGGCTGCCTGCCCCTGACAAAACCAATGATTAATTATTATTCACTTACAGTGCTGTCTTAATTATTCAAATAAACTGCTACCTCCAGATGTTTGGAGTAATCAAACAAAATATCCAGAGAATTCCTTTCTGCAATTTTTCTTATTGATGTTTACTTTAATATACACTGGCTAAAGAAAAAAAAACTTAATGGTGTTTTAATAGTAATGTACCATTTTAGGAAATTATTTAATTGTGTAAGTTATAAACTTTCCTAAGCCACTGAACAGATAATACAAAACCCATCACTGTATTGATTCATACTTAACTTTTCACAGCATTTAGCAAAACAGACAACTGCATACATGTAATACATGTTCAAAAGACCTGTCATGTGCTCTTACACCTTGCAACGTTACATACTTTCACAAAAAGGCGTTGATGCAGTTATATCCACGCATCACATCTTCCACCACAGGCGACCCCCCCCCCCTTGTTCACTTTTAACAATTCTCCTTAAATACCTTTAAAATTCTAATCACTATCCTGCCATATACCTTACTTTACTATCTAGTAGTCAACCCATCCTCCGAATTTACAGTACGATTTAAAACTAAGTGTAATGAGTACGTTTCCTTACAGTCATACATGGTACATAATTGCACCTACGGGGCTGTTACATTTACCTCCCCATTTATTCTCCTCGTTTTCTGTTAAGACACTCAGAATTTTAGAACGACTAAGTTCAAATACTACAGTACTGTATATACAAATTTTAAATATCAGGAATTTTTTCAGTTTTATTAAACAAGAGATTTTATACAAAATTTGAAAATATCCCGAGATACTTTACAATTTATTGATATATTTAAATTTTGTTAGTTTTATAAAGCTGTAATATCAATGTAGCTATAGGTTAAGTACTAATTGTAATTAAAAAGCAATAAAATGCTTATCTTCAAGCACTAAGACGGTCAGATAAGGTCGTGGTTTTCTATTTAGCTTTCCAGGTAAACTCAAATATTCAATGTATATTTGACAGTACAGGTACGATTTAATACTAAGTGAAAATAAGTACAATTCCTGACTGCTATGAATAGTACATAATTGCACTTTTGTGCTGTTACATTTACTTCCCCATTTTTGGAGGACGGGCTGCTAGTAGTACAGTACAATAGGTTTTTTTTTCTCCAATTATCTGGTACAGTGCCACTATCCCTCTATGCCAACTTTCAAATTCTAACACATTCCATTTTTGGTTCAGCCTCTACATTTAACCATACCCACACACACACACACACACACACACACACACACACACACGGTATAAGCACCACCTGCATCTTTAGAGAATATCAGTTACCATTAAACAGTCTCCCTGTTGCACTTATACTGTACTTTAAAAACCTTTCCATTGTCACACATTTTTGGTCCCCATAACAATAATCATTTCACGTTATGAGTATCATATGAATTATTATCTTTGGCTGCTTCAAATAAACCCATACATTCTCACCTGTATCACTTGGTGCACATGCAGTAACCACCATCTTTACGGTTACAAACTATCTCGCACACAATCACCTTTAATTAGGTACAAGTTTTTTTCATTATTCCATGCCACTATTTTCATACACTCCATTCATTCATATTTCCTTCATTCTTATTCTTTTAACATACATTCCTCTCATTTCCTTTTCCCTATATCTTGCATGGATCTAGCACATCAAACTTTCCTACTCTAAAAAAACCATTCCCACTTCCACGTTCTTATTCCCGATTTAACCTCCGCCTCCTAGGATACAATTGCTACATGCTATTCTTTTACATTTAATTTTAATTCATTGTGTCGGCAAACAGGCTGGCAATGTATACACACACATACATTAGGCTTATATTTAGGTCCCTCGAGGTTCAAATTACTGACCCACCCCAGGATGCAACTCCACAACAAGGAGACTAACTACTGGGTACCTATTTACTGCTAAGTAAACAGATGCACTAGGTAATAGGAAATGCACCTAACCCTTTCTGTCTTACTTGGGATTCAAACCAGGACTTCGCAATTGTGAGTAAAGAAATTACCCGACTATTTGTCGGGCATTTGACAATGTAGAACTTTAATAGCCTAGCTGTTTAATGCATTTCTCATTTGACACGTCGACACGCTCTAATATATTACACTAAAATAGTGCAATAGAAATTACCAAAGCAGATTAATCTATAACCCTTACCTTCCTTCCAAGTGACTGAATGCAAATGACAACAGAATTAAGATTTTGGCGCTCCCACAGGTCAACAGTCTGGAATGTCTCTTGGGAGGGGACGCCACAAGCCTTGGCACCATCCACAAACTGGTTTATATTTTCCATACACTTGAATGCCATGGAGGATTTCTGAATCTTCTTTATTTGTCCAGGCTTCAGGGCATTAATTACTCTGAAAAAAAGAAGCAAATAAAAACTTAAAAAGCTTCAGTAAATTAAAATAATCTATTTATATTTCCAAAGTAAAAATAAGAGTAAATTGCTAGCACATACAACAATCATACCCAAGCTTGAGAAGGGAAACCCAAACTTGGGAAAGGAAAGGGGGGGGGAAAAGGGGATTTTTTATAACTTCTGCTAAGACTACAGGACAATAATAAAAATCAACACACTTAAATTAGACTGGCAAAGATATCTAGTGACATGCTCACTACTGGGCATATTATATAGATACTCAAGGAGTCTATGAGAGTTTTAAAAATGAACCATTTCTTATTCAATTTGAACCCTATTCCATTTTGTACAGCCCTACAGTAAGGGCTACACAAAATTGGATAAGAATAAAAACCTGTACAGTAATTCTGTCAGTTTCTAAACCATCTGCAAATTTGTGCTAAATTTGCTATTTTGATAAATCCTTTGAAAAGGTAGCACATGAAAGACTGGCAAGGAAATTACAGGCACATGGAATACATGGTAGAATACTAGAATGTATAAAGCAATGGTTAAAACAAAAAAAAATGGTCATGGTAAATGGGAATGAATCTAACCCGAGAAATGAGGTAAGTGGAGCACCACGGGGGGTGGGGGAGGGGGGGGGGTGTTCTCATTTTGGGCCCAACCCATTTTGTTATATAATTTACATCTATGACAAGAAAATTATGCCCTCTTGCATGTGGGGCATAGCAACCCATGCTACAAACTTCCAAATTAATAACATTACAGCATATTGATGAAGAAAAGGATCTTAAGTCAAAATCCACCACTCATTAATATGTGCACAACAGGTAGGAGCAGCAGTCAAAATAGTTAACTCCTTGGAATAATCAAGCATATCCTTGACCAAGTCAAACAAGGTAGTGATTCAACTGTATAAATCTCCAGTGAGCCCCCCCCCCCTTTCGATTACTGTATCCAAGCACGGAGACCTCATCTTTAGAAGGACTTGGCTCCTCTGGAGAAAGTGAAACCCCAGGCAACAAAAATCATTCCAGAGCCAAGTCAACTCTCACATTAGGAACAACTGAGGGCCAAAGGGCTAAAAACCTTGCAAACTAGGCATGACAGGGCAGATCTTATTGAAAATTAAAATACATACAGTACTGAACAATTTGGAGGCTGTTGATCCAGACAATTTCTTCAAAAGGTCAGATATAACACAAACAAGGAGTAACAGTTTCAAGCTCAACAAGCCACAATGTAGGACTGAGAACAGAAGATGTGTTTTCACCCATAGGGTTAACCCATGGAACCACCTACCTGCCGAAGCCGTAACTGCCAAAACTGTTACATTTTAAAATCCATCTTTAAAAGACAAGGACAATTAGGGGGGGGGGGGGACTTGACAAGCTGCCAGCTTCCTGCTCTCATTGTAAGGCAAGAGATTGGGCTAATAAATTAAAACATTTCCACCCTAAAGAATTACACTTACCCCATTATCACCGAGACACACAGACAAGCACAGACAGGGAGACACAGACAAACATCCCTCACATTATTTATAAGAAAGTAAGAACGGGTTTTGTTAGTTGTACTCTAAGAGTACGGCTTCCAACCTCGTGCCTTACAACCTTGTGGCTATTAATGTTAGTGGGCTTCAGGTAAATTCAGGTAAATTATTAATCTCAATCATGTTAGCTCAAGACTCGAGCTGCTAAGCATATTAGTAGATTTTCATAGGATAGGGTTGTGATCCTGTTATGGATAGTACACAAGACGTATATATACACTATTGTATATGTAGTAGTGTTTCTAGCAGTAAGAAAGCCATCACAATATAACTTCACAGTAGTATCTCTGAAGGAATGACTAGTCCTAACTGCTTTTTCACATGTAATGTTTGTAGATTTGCAAGGCTGTGGGCATCAAGAATGAAAAATCACTGAAGCAATGGAGCGACTCAAAGCTGTATTCTGTTGATTCCCAGACACCTGTTCTACCCAACTTGTTGGCTGTTGTACCATTATAGCCCAAGCCAGAACTACTCCGTTGCCTCAAAATGATTTTCATTTATATATCACATCACTAATATCTTCCAAGAATGACCGTGTTTGCAAGAAATGAGTACCAGTTTTCAAAGCTTATTGCTTAAGTGTTAATTTATTTTATACATGATGAGCCCTATGTTCACCTGTCCAATTTCGCTGCTATTGATGCAACATGAATCAGCAGAATTTACAGCGTGTAGGACTATACACCCAACCTCTTATACAAACAACTAGGGAAAATTTCCAAAGTGGTCATCATCTATAGGAAGTGAATGATTAACGAACACCTTGGTGCCAAGATTAGCTTCCGAGGTAGGGTGCATTCACAGTCCATATATTATTCTGTATGTCATATGTTCTCGTGTACCTTTATTCAGGACCCTTGTCTCCCTCCCACATTCTTTTTAATTAGCAGGGTCAAACTAATGTTAAGTTAGGATACCAATTTGTATGAAAAGGTAGATTTCATTATGACCTAACTCGCTTATTTGGGCCATTTGCAAGACTTGGCATTGCATTGACAAGAATGCAACTGCCCCTTTGTTTATGTATATAGTGTAAATAAACTACTACTACCTTTAGTGTTTAGACTAAGTAATACATCTTCCTTTTTGCATATATCTTTGATCCCTTGCTACTGACCCATTGCTACTCTGAATAAATGTTGACAAACTGTTGTGGGCCAAACCCCTCCTCCAGACTTATTTCGGGACGCATGTCCTAAATACACAGTAATAGTACTGACCACTGTGCCTTGGGCAAGATTCCCCTTTGGGTTTAATCATGCACCAAGAGGAACAAGGTTTCTTGCGTTCAAGATGTTTTGTGCTCAGGCAATCACTTTAAATCTTTACACTAATAGTTTTCCGGCAGAGTAATTGTACACACATCATGGGAAAGCTGATGGTCAACATTCAGTGCCTATTAATATTTGTTACAACCAAGAAAAGGCAAAATCTGGACATCTTTTAGCAATATCAACACTAGAACCATTGATAAAGCTCATTACCATTAATTTATAGCTCAAATAATTTGAAAGCAGTTAAGTTTTAGGTACAGCATGGCATCATGCAAGGTAGGTAGATATGGTTTGGCTTGTGCTCTAAAGTCTACCACTGGGACAACGTCAATTAGCATTGTCACTACAATGTGTCAACAGAACTTTCTTGTACCTATTACATATTAAACCAGCCATATTAATGAGATTAACTTTAGATATTTAAAAGTTGGTAGATTTATTTAATTTTAAACCTTGAATACAATGGTATAAAAAAATTGTCACTGAACTTACTCGCAAAGCAATTGCCCATCCTTCAGAACTTCATAAAAATTGTCTGCAGCTCCTGACTTGTCAAAATCTTGCCCAGTAATGGTAGCAATCCACTCCAAGCACTCTGCTGCCTGATCCTCATTGTACTTTGCCTCAACCTGAAAAGATTAATACATTAAAGTTCTCTGCCTAATTCATACCACTTTCAGTGGTATGGTTGAGAAGTGGTTCTCTACCACTTCATAATCTAATCTGTGTATCTATGTATTTACGTATGTAGGTTAGCTTAGCATTTTAAAAGCACCGAATCACCTTCTGTGGTTGAGCGTTCAATAAACCCTTGAACTGTATGTTTAACACTTCTCTAACCCTGTCCATGGAGGACAGAAGAAAATATATATGCTGGTTAGCATTGTAAATGTGTGGCCACGTCTGTGGTAGAAAAATAATAAAAAAAAAAATTCATAATCAATACAACGAAATACAACAAAAACTAACTTTTATCTAGTAGTTTTGAAAAAATACAAACGAAAACTAAATACTGTACTGTATTTGCTTGTATATCGATGCAAGATTTTTGTTCACCACCACCAAAAATAGTACAATAATTTTTATTCAAAAGAGTGCGTGTACAAAGAATATAAAAGTAAAACAATTGTAGGGATAGGAGTTACACGTTACTCTATTACACAATGTTTCGGGCATAAACAAATAATTTACATTAAATTTTTTAAAGATATAAAGGGGTAAACACTTAACCAAACATACATAGCATTTAAATTCACAAAATCATTTTGTTTCCTTTACAATACCATTTTATCATCACTTACTATGTATGAAACATACTTACAAATTATCCTTGAAAAACACAGTACTGTACAGTAGTCAATACTTTGACTACAGTTTGCCATTTCTTCCCTATACTGTACTCTTCTATAGATTAGAAAAAAAAAATGTTCTTTAATATTTGCACACAGAAAAAGACATGCTTATTCCAGTGGTACTACTACTACTAAAACAGTAAAATCTTATCAATCTAAAAACTAAAGAAAACCAGTATTGTAGTCCATTTTTTAATAATACCATATTGTCTATTTAACTATACCAAGCAATAAACCTTTTCATGACAAAAACCAACTAGTTAGCAGTTTTGTAAAAATGTACCATATAATCACCGATATGTACAGTACTTTGACAGCCCAGTGTATCTTCTTACCATATACCGATGATGACACTAAGACGCTAGTACTCTCTAGAGTGGAGCACTGCTGCACAATGACAGCCCCTTTCAAAGCTGGAGAAATTGCTGACCTGGAGTGTGCAGAGATCCTTTACTGCTAGAATCCACCCAGTAAAACATCTAAACTACTGGGACCGACTAAAGGGCCAAAATCTGTATTCTCTTGAGCGCAGGCGAGAGAGATACATAATAATCTATACGTGGAAAATATTAGAGGGGCTGGTCCCAAACCTGCACACAGAAATACCACCACATGAGACTAGGAGGCATGGCAGGATGTGTAGAATACCCCCATTGAAAAGCAGAGGGGCAACAGGTACTCAGAGAGAACTATCAACACCAGAGGCCCGAGACTCTTCAACAGGCTTCCACTACACATAAGGGGCATAACTAGCTGACCACTCACAGTGTTCAAGAGAGAACTGGACAAGCACCTTCAAAGGATACCTGATCAACCAGGCTGCGAGCCACCATGTCAAACAGCCTGGTTGACCAGTTCAGCAACGAGGAGGCCTGGTCAACGACCGGGCCGTGGGGACGCTAAGCCCCGGAAAAACTCCAAGGTAAGGTTCTCCAAAGCAACCATGTTTTTATAAAAGATGTCTTCCAGGCTTGAATACTGTACAATCCAAATGGGGGCACACCAGAGATTTAAACATTTGAATAACACCTTTTCCTTAAAGTCAAAAGTATGCTCTATTATTTTTTATGGTTTGGTCACTTTTTTTACTGCCTCTGTTAAGAGGTACAAGGTACACTTTTACACCTTTCAGCAAATGATGGATTCTGACTTCAAGGTCCTTTTCTTCAATCTGCTGCAAGGTAATGTTAATTTGGTAGTTGTGATGTAGGTTGTTATGCCCCACATGTCAGGTCTTTCACTTCCCACTTCACCATAAATTTTAGTGCCATCTTTAGGGTCCAAATAACACAGTCTGGTTCAATCTCTACTCACAATCGAGAAATCCAGGATCAAATCCCAGATGGGACAGAACCAGTTGGGCACATTTCCTATCTAATGCCCTGTTCACCTTTCAGTTAATGTGTACCCAGGAGTTAGTCAGCTTGTTGTAGGGTTGCATCTTGGGGAGGGTCAGTAATTCGACCCTGGGGGAGGGGACCTCTATAGAAGCCTAACATACTGTATGCGTAAACTGACTGCCTGTCCCGCAACACAGGACGGCCTTCTCTCAGGTAGGCTATATAGCCGTTATGTCCCGCAACACAATGAATTATTAGTAAAATTTGATGTGGTTTGTAATATTTTCCTCTATAGATATCACTGATGTACATGACGAAAAGGGTTTGCTTCAACATGGACCCTTGAAGTACCCCACTCACTACATTTCTTCAGTTAGATTCATTCCTGTTTAGCACGACCCTTTGTTTTGTATTTTTAACCATTATTTTATCCATTCTACTATTCAACCATTTATTCCATGTCCCTGTAATTTCCTTGCTAGTCTCGTGAGGTATTTTATCAAAAGTCTTAGCAAAGTCTGTACTACATCTACTGAAGTACTGTAGTAGAACTAACAAAAAGGAGAGCAGTAATCGAGGCAAGGTAAAATTTGAGAAGTGTCACTAGTGGAGTAACCACTGGGTTCAGTTCTTGCACCAGTAATGCTCATTGACTATAAACGATCTACCAGAAGGAACAACTATATGAACATGAACAAATCCACAAGGGCCGTAATGAGGGTTCAAACCTACGTCCGGGATGATCCCAGATGCGCCTTAGTCGACTGCGCCACGACGTGGTCAAAAGAATTGCAACAGAGAGTGCTACTGCCCTCACACGGATCCCACAGCCTCTCCGAGACACAAACTGGGGTTTTACACAATTTACCCATGCACCAGGGCTCTGTCAACCAGAGGTTCTACCTCTTTGCCCATGACCAGGTTGTAGAGCAGTCGACTAAGGCGTGTCTGGAATCATCTCTGAAGTAAGGTTCGAACCCTCATCAAGGCCCTTGAGGATTTGTTCATGTTCATATACACACAAATCACAATAGCATGATACATCAAATGAACTATTTCTGTGTATATGAACATGAGCAAATTCTCAAGGGCCGTGATGAGGGTTCAAACCTACGTTCGGGATGATCCCAGATGCATCTTAGTCGATTGCTAAGCCCTTGATTGGCCACGGGCCCTCATCACGGCCCTTGTGGATTTGTTCATTTGATGTATCACGCTATTGTGATTTGTGTGTATATGAACATGTTTACCAATGACGCTAAGCTACTTGGAAAGAAACTTAAGACAATTGTCTTGCCCTTCAAGAAGACTTAAGTGAAGCAACACTTCACAAATTCAATGGGAATAAATGCTACGTTATGGAAAGTTGAATAGAAGAAAATAGGCCCCACACCCTATCAAGTGATTTTTTTTAAAGAATTCTGATAAGGAACGATTTTGGGATGGTTCTGGGTAGAACCATTCCGTCACCTGACGACCAGAAACACTGAGGCCGGCATGCTATGCTTTCTAACTTTTATAACCTCCAAGCACATAGATGGCAAAATCAAGAAATTGTTCACAACGTTTGCGAGGTCAGAATTAGAATATGCAGAGGTTGTATATGGGGGATGGGGGGATTGAGACAGACAGACAGAGACAGAGACAGACACAGAAAATTTACCGTTTTTATTTTTTGTCAGTAATAAACATTACAAGGGGGTGTGCTTTCATTGTACAATATAACTACAATTATTTTTCCATATGAACGATAAAGATATTTTAGTCATTATTTAAGTGTTGCGTGTTGTCAGTACCATGAGGTCTGTTAATAATAATTATCGAGGTTCCCATATGGGTCACAAGTAGTCTGGTACCTATTTACCACTTGGTGCACAAGTTGTCAGAAATCAAACCCAAAAAAGCTAACAAATTTTTGCTTAGTTTCACATCTGCAGTATTTCGTACTTTTCTGCTTACTGTTGTGAGAGTAACGTCAACTATCTGGCCAGATTTCGCAGCAGCAGCTTTTCTATATTAAATATGCAGGTCGTTAGTATGATAATATTCTAGCGTTGTCATCGGCGGCGGCGGTGTACAAGTTTCAGGAGCACAAGGGATCAGGAACTATACCCTAAACATCTTAGCTAAGCAAACTAAAATTGCAACCATTGGCAGTCAATACATACAACCGATGTCATAATTAAGATTTCGGCTAATGCAGTCTTATTTGGTATATTTTGAGTAACAATCATTGGCCGCCAAGTTTAATGTACCCAATTTTCTTACCAGAGTGGTAGCACAAAAGCAGTAGATGCCACAAAAGCAGAAATCAGAGCACACACACTGTGCCTCAACTGAATACTTTTCCTATGTTGACTGGACCACACACTAGAAGGTGAAGGGACGATGACGTTTCGGTTCGTCCTGGACCATTCTCAAGTCGATTGTGATGAAGATTGACGATTGATGAAGATTCTTTCTTCTCTCTTTTGTTCTTTGGTTTTCTTTACGTTCCCTTACTATCCTCTTCTTATTCCTATTACTATCTCTTTCTCATTCGGTGGTTATAATAGAAGCTGCCTCGTATGGGCCAATAGGCCCTCTGCAGTTCCTACTACTATCTCCTCTACTACACTTTGCTCACCTCTCTAGCCTATTTGTTGCCTGTCTCTACTTCCTCATCACACCATTTAGTCCGGGAGACATCTACCGTCACGTGGGGTGCAGTTGCGCCTCCACAGATCTCCAGTATCATCTTTTGATTCTGGTAATGGCTCAAAAGGGCCACCACTTACGGGCTATTCATGCCCGTGCCACCTCTTGGGTGGCTTAATCTTCATCAATCAATCAATTCCTCATCACCACGGGAGACATCTCCCGTCATGCAGGGTGCAGTCGAACCTCCACAGATCTCCAGTATCAGCTCTTGATACTAGAGATGGCTCAAAAGGGCTA